GGTAGCCACACCTCCCCCTGAAACAGTTTCCTTAGGTTGGGCCAGACCCCCAGCCCTGCTCCCTGGGGTCCCAGCTTCTCCTGTCTGAGTTTACTTGGTCAGCTGTGGTCTATAGGTCTGACCTTCTATAGGCCAATCACTGTGTGCTCTTTCTGACTGTCGAAAAGAGATATGTGTTCTTTCTTGTGGAAAACACAGAAATCACACCAGGAAAGATTCTCGAGTGGTGAGAACACAAAGCCCTCTGTAGGACCCTGTTCATCTAATACATTCACAGTATCTGGGATGCTAGACAGTACCCACTGGCTCACACCTACTTGAAAGTACAGACTAAAGGCAAGAAGCCCTGGAGCCTGAGCCAGCAGGGTGAAGAGTCTCTGTTCTCCCTGAGAGAGCCTATCCTCCATGAAGTGCAATAAAATACAATTTTAACAAAATATTAGAAGCTTTCATCACCATCGTTGCAGCAACTAGTGCTTGCTGAATGTTTCCTCAGTTCTGAACAGTTTTCTGAGTGCTTACCTCTCATTCTGGACTTACGACTACATGCATTCTGCGGTGAGGTACTGGGGATATAGAGAGGATAAATAACTGGTCCAAGCCAAGTGGAACAGTTGATTCGTACTATATTTTTCAGTCCTGGGCATGAAACCCAGGGCCTTATGCAGGTTAGTCAAATGTTCTGTCACTGAGCACACCTCAACCCTCAAATCTGTTTTCCCTCCTAATAATCAAGTGCAGTACAGTCACCATTCACAGAGTATCTCCTTGGTGCTAAGATGGGTGAGGCTCATGCAGGTCCTCAGTGTGTTTCTATTATCTTCCTATAAGGAGGGAGACATCTCAGAGGTGTGAGAATAGAAAGTGCCCTGTTTGTGTTCAGACTGAAAGACATTTGCAATGGTTTTGGAATCATACCAAACTCTCATTTGACAGCTTTGCATATTAGATCCAATGGTATTATGTGCCTTTGAAATGTGATTTGGAAATCTCAGAGCGCATTATCCAGAGGAGGCTGGAGTACTCAAGACATCCCTGTGCAAACAAGGGAGATAATGGAAATGAGACCAAGACCCTAGAGCTTCTTGGGGCTAAAGAGAATCCAGAGGGTTCCTAGAAACACTTTGGCATGGTAACGGAAACATTGAATGAAGTCAAGTGTCCGTCAGTGGAAGGGTAGATAAAGAACAAATAGTTTATCCACACAATGGGGCATCATTCAACCAAAAAAAGGAATGGAGCCCTGATACATGCTTTCACATTGATGGACCACAAAGTATTGTCTTGGTGGGAAAGAAGCCAGACAGAAAATACAAATATTATGTGAGTCTGTATCTGTGAAATGCTTAGATGGATAAATTCATAAAGGCAGAAATATTGATGATTTCTGGGAGGTGGAGAACCAAATGAAGGGAGTGAGGAGTGAAATTAGATAGTGATGATGCTTATACAATTTTGAAACTATGTGGGAGAGAAAGAGAGGGCCTGAATTACAAATTCAGGTGTAGGTACATGCTTGCAATGCTAGCACTCGAGACTCTCAGGCAGGAGGACAGGGCTTTGAAACCAGACTGGGTTATGTGGCAGGACCCTTATGGAGAGGGGGAGGGAGGGAGACAGAGACACACAAAGAGAATTATGGTTTATGAATACATGAAACACACCTCAGTAAAACCAAAAAGTGAAAGAATGAAAATGTGAATAAAGAATTTCTCTTAGGAAGTCCTCCAGAGAAGCATGTGACTACTTCTTATGAAGCTGGCCCTTGGGAGCAAGGCCCTGGACTGAGCAGAGACTGAACTTAAATCTTAGTTGAAACTTCCCCACTAGCTTTGACACAACTTAGGGCAAGTCCTTTCATCGCTGTAGACAGTAGTTTCACCATCTGTTTAATAGTGGTGTTGGGGGAAAGTACATCCCCAGTCAGCATTATAAAACTATAAAATGCTTATTTAAAACTGCATCCATGGACTGGGAATATAGCTCAATTGCGAGAGCTTGTCCAGAATGCTGGAAGTTCTAGGTTCAGGTAGTACTAAAACAAGTAAGCAAACAAGTTAACTAACCACAGGCAAAGGTAGTTATTAAAGTTCTTAGGAGTGAACAGAGCACCTGGGGGCTGAAATGCCATCTTCCACCACAATCAGTTCAAACCCCACAGGTGCTGGCTTCTATACTGTGAAAGGTCACTTTTTGCTAAACAGAAAGTATCTGTTGAGAGAAGGCCCCCAGGTCTCCCTTTTGGGAATCTAATAATTAATAGTTTCAAGTCTCAGTGCTTCTGTCCTATCCCAGTTATAAAGACATCACCCATTTTTAAAAATGCCTTTAGATTCTAAAATCATATACTCTTCCCTGTACCCACAAAGGAGTTGCGATTTAAGTGTTCCCAAGTCATCAAATTTATTGTACATGAGATTTGTCCTACTTACCCCCGTAAAAGGCCTCAATTTTCTCTCTCGTATGTGTTCGTATGACAGCTTTAATATTCATGCCTTTTTCTTAGTACTGAGGTGCTGTTTAGAATCTGTATTAAGCTAGCTCATAAAAACAACAATTCAAGTAGAAACAGCGATCATTCTTCAGCGATTATTAAAATATTTGCCTCTTGGTGTTGAAAATCGAAGCTCCAGGAAATCATAGTCAAATAGTGTCCAAATGGGGCAGGGACCAGAGAGACCTCAGCTCACTCTCGGACTCGGACCCTCAGTCCTTAGGCATTCCAGTCCCCTTTCAAGGTTAGCTTCCAGCGCCAGGGACTCTGCCAGCTTCAGGGCCGGCCGCTTCAGCTCCACAATCCTCACACTGGAGCATAACTGGTTAGAATAGCCTGCAGCAGCCTTCCAGATGTTAGCTGGGAAGGGAGACAGGAGTGTCTGCAGCCCCTACAAAGCTGCTTTTCATTTTTCTCCTATTCTAGTCCGTTTATTGAATTCAAAACCGCTTCGGATTCTGCAAGTAAAATGTTCTGAATTCTAGCAGAATCGTATGTTATGTGAAGTCTAACATCGTTCCTACATAGTCTACGAAGTGGACAGGCTTTGAGTTGTTAGCCTCGTGTCCAGGTGTGCAGTAGGGCACTGAGTACAGCAAGCCGACTCTTGGGCTGTGATTCCTTTATTGAAAATCCTGGCTGAGGCTGGCAGTGCAGGAGCGCGCAGGCCAGAGCTGCAGCCGGGAAGCAGACAATGAAATGTGAAAAGGCTCCTGGTGGAAGGTGGTGGTTCCCGCTGGGTTCTCAGCTATGAGGGATGGTCCCTCCCCCCCACCCCCACTCCCAGCACGAAAACGCACTTTCTCTTGGAGCATTTTAGCATAAGTGTACGATTTCAGTTACCAGAAGTGTTTGCTTCTCCGTTGAATGTAAATGTGTTGAAGTCCAATGCAAAACTTGTCCTAGCCCATCCCTGTGACCTCCCCGCACCCCGGGGTAGGAGGTTGTGATGTGCAGATGGCTGCACTCCAGGCCTTTGTAATCCATCAGCCCCGCAGAGGGCCGAAGGCTGGTCTGTGCAGCGACTTCCCGGGTGTTACCTCTGTTTTCTTTTTCTTCCCTTCAAGGCTCCCTAATATGATCAATAACTTTTACTAGTCAACTGAAATCCACTTCCTTGACCAGGCTTTCGGAGCTACCCAGTGTCCGAAATGTGCTCTTGTGTCTCAACGTTCAAATTCCTCTTGGTCGGGCATTGCGATGTCTCTAGGGCGCTGTTGGTGCCTGGTGAAGGGGACCCTCGGTGTGAAAGTGCAGCATGAAAAGGAAGGGATTGAAAAGAGAGTCCCTGGCTAGGAGTGGAAAAACAGATGGGTCAGCAAACGTTGTGCCTTGGGCTGGAGGCTGCAGATGCTCCTGAGGCTTCTTAGCCGCAGGCCAGGTTTTGCCGCAACAGGTTTGTGGCTACAGTGCAGCCGATCTGTCGCCTGTCTGACTGCTAGATAGCATCAGATAGAAAGTGCAGAGCACCGAAATGGGTAGAGAAGCCTGACCGGTTCTCCCTGGGCTGCTTCAAAGAGCAGAAGCCCAAGAGAAGGCTTACTTGCAGGTTTTACGTTTACCCAAAGCAGTGCCTAAATTCTCATCGCCAGTCTGTGGGTAACTGGGAGGATAAGAAGTCCCACTCCCACCCATCCTAAAGCTGGGTTTGAGCGACCATTGTCTGCTCTCCTGAGTTCCCAGGGTGCAGACCTGCTCCCAGCTTTTAGAGTACAGCACAGAGTACATTTTCCCATGGAGAGTGCAAGTCTAGCAGCTAAGGGAGCAGACCCCTTGCTGGAATGACACGACCCAGAGCGGTATTAATTCTTTAGAGTGTAGGAACCCCAATTTGTTGTGGGAGACAAGAGCACTTGTTCTGCATTCCTCACCGGTTACAAAAAGCTATGGACAGAACAGAGCTCGGCGATTAGAATAAGAGTCCAAAGGAATCTGCAGAGATAAGGATATGGGGGTTTAAAGGATCCCTGGATGCCCCCCTATACCTTAGGCAGGGATGCGTACTTGATCCAGCTGGCATTAGATCTCAAGAAGCACCTCATGAGCCCTCTCTGCAAGCTACATCCCTTTAGCAGGTATTTGTGTTGGTGGAAGAAAAATAACTTGCTGGAAATGGATGCTAAGCTGCTCTGAGCTAGCTAGTCACGAAGCAAGGCACCTGGGGGATTCACGGGGGTGGGGTGGGGGCTGGCTAGAGAGGAGGGGAAGCACAAACAAGGTAATGGGAAGCAAGAACACACCTCCTTGCAGTGGATTTGTCCAGGGAAAGGCAGTGACTAAAGCGGGGGTGGGTTTGGGGGGTTGGCCAAAGAGCTCTGATTGGTCAAGGGGAGGGGTTAGAGGTGGGGCTACCCACTTCTCGAGGCTTTAAAAGCTCACCAGAGAAGGCTGGGGGGACTGTCATTTGCTCTCTGAGCCTCGAAGAGAGCACCACGCTTTCCTGGAGCTCCTGGTGACTGAGCAGGTATTCGCTGCTGCGCTGCAAGGATTCACCGGGGGATCCTGAGCTTGCTTGGGAGGGATGTCCACGGTCCCCAAGGGCAACATGGGACCTACCAAGGCAGTCCCTACCCCATTTGGCTGCATTGGCTGTAAGCTGCCAAAGCCGGACTACCCACCAGGGCTAATCACCTTCATGTTCTGCGCAATGGTTATCATCGTTGTCTTAGACCTGATCGGCAACTCCATGGTCATTTTGGCTGTGACCAAGAACAAGAAGCTCCGAAATTCTGGTAAGCCACTCTTCCTTTCCCTACCCAGTGAACAGCAATTTGCAATCCCCTCTCCCAAATTCCTCCCAAGCCCGGGGGCTGCGGGGATGACATTTTGCCGGGTTCCCCTAAAAGTGGAGCTTCATAGCGCTGGGGGAGCTCAGGAAATTAGCATGGGGCAGCCGAATGCAAACCCCAGGTTTGTAGAGCGCACGGCACCCCGCCAACCCCTGTCGGGTCGGAGCGGAGTCTCCTGGAGCGGAGTCTCCAGGAGCGGAGAGTTTGGCTGCCACTCCGGGACAGCCTGCCGAACTGGACACCGGAGGGGCAGCCTCGCAGAGGTACTGTGGGCCAAACTGTCTCAGAGAGAGCAGCTGGGTTGCGACCAGCTTTGGGAAGTTAAGTTCGCAGCGGCCGCGGTAGCCGCGGCGACCGCGGCGGCGGCTGCGGCGGCCCCGGCGGCGGCGGCGGCCCCGGCGGCGGCGGCGGCCCCGGCGGCGGCGGCGGCCCCGGCGGCCGCGGCGCTCCAGTGAGCGCCGCGCTGTAGCTGCCCCCACGGGCAGCTGAGACTCCGCTTGCCGCGGCCCCATGGTTCCCGGATCGCTCCCTGGCAGCGCGGCAGAGTGCAGACCCCACGCCGGAATAAGGAGGTTTGAGCCCGCTGTAGCCTAGCTCTGTCTGCTTGTCCCAGGGCAAGAGGCTGGGACTAGCGAGGTGCGGGCTGGATCCTGAAGGCGGTGGCGGCGATGGTAGTGGCAACGGACATCGGGAGGTCTGTATTAGGGAGTTACAAGGGGGCGAAGGAGGGGTGCAGGAGCTCTGTGCAGTGGCCGGGGAGTGAAAAGAGGAGGCAAAACCTGGTAGGAATGGCAGGAGGGCGGCTTGAGAGGTCCTGGGGAGCTCCTATTGTAAAGTGCTGGGATATGGAAACCTGGAGTCCAACTCCCCTTAGCCGCCAGGGCAGATCAGAGGGGGACACCGCGGGAAGATGCTATGCACTGGGACCTGTGGGTGAGAGAGGAGCGGGTCTAGAGTATTCGAAAGCGGTGATTCTGGTTTTCAGGGTGGGTGGGAGAAGGCTGTGCATGAGGGGAGGACGGATGATGAAGCCCCCAACTCCATGCTCCGCCTGGGAGGAGGTTTTCATGGTGCCCTGGGTCGTTTTTCGCAAGATCTCAGCGGCTTGGGAGAAGGCACAGATCAGGGAGGGTTGGGAACCACGTAGACGCTAGTGGCTTGGGGCTGGGGGGAAAGCCAGGCAGCGTCCTAGCGAATTGCTTGGTGGGAACAAATTTCAAAACGCAGCGGCAGAGTAATTAAAAATTTTCAAAGTCGTGAGTGCTTCTGATTGCTCCTTTATAACCCAGAGACCTGAAGCCCAGCCTTAAAGGTCACCTTTCAGTTTTGCTTTGGTACCCACGGAGCATGGGAAATTACCTGGAAAGCTCACCTGTTCTCCCTGCTTTCCCTTCTCTCTCGCTTTCTCTTTTTTTATAAACTGCAAATAAAATTTGCTGTGGTTGTTCTGGGTTTATTTTTAAGGCTTTTGACCTTTCTTTGCTATTTTTCTTTTGGAAGTTCATTACTTTGAGGGAAAACCCTAGAAAGAACCCCTTTTTGCAAAAAGTACTGGAGGGCAAGTCTTGGTGGTCTTTTAAAAAGCCCTTATTTTCTTCCAGTCCAGGACAATGTGCAGTATTTTGCCAAACCAAAGCTAATTAGCAAGGAGGTGTCCCCAAAGAAAGGGAACCCTGTGCCTGCACTTGGCCTCTTTCGTCTACTTTTTGTAAAGAATACACACACACACACACACACACACACACACACACACACACAATTTGCTACAGCTGTCCTTTGAATGGAGCAGGGCAGAACCCGGCTTTACCCACAGTTGTTTCCTTCTTCAGCCTGGCAGACTCCCATGCTGTGCAGGATGCTTCTTGCAAGGCTGGGGGTAAAACCGCTCTTGAGGGGGATTTCTCCTTCTGCCTGACCATTTTCTTTTACCTCAGACTTGATATTACCGGGGCCCCCTTCCTCCCCGCACTCTTTTTAGGTTTTACTCTGAATGTAGCCATAGCCGGAATGGTAAGCGTTTCACTAAGCTGTCAGAGAGTAATGTTTGATCTTTAAACAAGCCCCCAAAGGCCTTCTCAGGGTGGCCTCCTTATTCCTTCATTAGGAAGAGGATTAATACATCATTATCATCATTGTTAATTTTTAGTTTGACTCTACTTATGGACAGATCCATCTATCTCCCCTCTCTCCTACTCTTCCTTTTCCACCTCTTCCAGTGTGGAAAATGTGGCGTAGTTTTATTTCTCTAGACAGCGTCAGCAGGACTCTGCCCCCACCCACACGACATTCGCTGTCTTGCTCACTGTCGTGTATGTGCATTCACTTCTTTCGCAGAGCAAGCACACTGAAAATAAACAATCAAAAGGCTGGCAAAGCACAGGTGTCCCAAACTTGCAGTGCATGGGAGTCACCTAGGACTTGCTTGAAAACAAGAAAGAAGAAAAAGGAAGAAAATTGTTTTCTTCAAAAGAAATCTAATATTCTAAATCATCACCCATCCAATTGGCCTTTTCCTTTTTGGGAGGTAGCTTCCCAAACATTAACCACTGACTTCTTTTCCTTCTGATGTTTTCCAGGCAACATCTTTGTGGCTAGTCTCTCTGTGGCAGACATGCTGGTGGCCATCTACCCCTACCCTATGATGCTGTATGCCATGTCAGTTGGGGGCTGGGATCTGAGTCAGTTCCAGTGCCAGCTAGTCGGATTGATCTCAGGACTGAGTGTGGTGGGTTCTATCTTCAACATCACGGCCATCGCCATCAACCGTTACTGTTACATCTGCCACAGCCTCCAATACAAGCGGATCTTCAGTCTGCGCAATACCTGCATCTTCCTGATCATTACCTGGATCATGACTGTTCTGGCTGTCCTGCCTAACATGTACATTGGCACCATTGAGTATGATCCTCGCACCTACTCCTGTATCTTCAACTATGCAAACAATGCCTCCTTCACAGTTACCATCGTCTGCATCCACTTCGTCCTCCCTCTCTTCATAGTCGGTTATTGCTACACAAAAATCTGGATCAAAGTGCTAGCGGCCCGTGACCCAGCTGGACAGAATCCTGACAACCAGTTTGCTGAGGTTCGAAATTTTCTAACCATGTTTGTGATTTTCCTACTTTTTGCAGTGTGCTGGTGCCCTATCAATGTGCTCACTGTGTTGGTGGCTGTCAGTCCTAAGGATATGGCAGGCAAGATCCCCAACTGGCTTTATCTTGCAGCCTACTGCATAGCCCACTTCAACAGCTGCCTCAACGCGGTCATCTACGGTCTCCTCAATGAGAGTTTCCGACGGGAATACTGGACCATCTTCCATGCTTTGCGGCACCCTATCTTGTTCATCTCTCACCTCATCACTGACATTCGGGAGACTTGGGAGACCCGAGCTCTCACTCGTGCCCGTGTCCATGCCCAGAATCAAGTCCAAGACCAAGAGCATGCCCATGCCTCTCTCTCTGTAGAGGGAACCCCACAAAATGTCCGGAATGTTCTACTGCCTGGTGGTGCAGCAGCAGCCCACTCTGATCACGCCTCTGTCCACTCTAAGCCCCAAACCAGGTCTACTTCTGCCTACCGCAAACCTGCCTCTATCCATCACAAGTCTCTTTCTGGCCACCCCAAGTCTTCCTCTGTCCATCCTAAGCCAACCTCTTCTGTCCATTTTAAGCCTGCTTCTGTCCATGTCAAACCCACCTCTGTCCATTTCAAGGGGGACTCTGTCTATTTCAAGGGAGACTCTGTTCATTTCAGGGCTGCTTCCAAGCTTGTCACTAGTCACCATATGTCTGCTGACTCTTCCTCCAACCATCCTACATCCACTGCTGGCTACATTAAACCTGCTACCAGTCACCCTGCAGCCACCACTGTTGACTATCTTGAGCCTGCCACCACCAGCCATTCTGCGCTCCCTGCTGTTGACATCCCTGAGGTCTCAGCCTCCCATTGCCTTGAGATGACCACCACTGGCCACTTCAAACCTGGCATTACTGTCTCCAACCTTCCGGTTGTATTTCCGGAGGCTACTGTCACCTCTGCCAGCCCTCCTGACCCCACTGTAATCCCCATTGCCACTGATGATTACCGCAAGGTTGTGCTTATTGATGATGATGATTTTGATGATTCTGATTGTTCTGATGAGATGGCTGTATGAAAAGTGTTCTTTACAGTTTGCCCTGCTTATGCAGCGCAGAGTGAGATACCTCCACTGCACGGACACACTGCCGCACACAGACATGGACGTTCCATCCACCTTTCAAGCATATTCCTCGTTGGCACTCTGCACTCTTGAAAGTGTGTGCATATTCTTGCTATCTTAGAGATCAAATTTACAAGTGTGACATCTGTGGTTCTGAGGTCCTAAGCCTCACAGTTCCTCTAAGGTTGACTTTCAGTCCTCAGTGATCTCTGAACTGTTTGTTGCTTTAATCCTCCTCCTGGAGTCTTTCAAATCTCCTACCCGCAATTCCCGATTTCCTCTGCCTCCTGCTTTCTTCTCCCATTCCCAGGGGTGGGGGAAGAATGCATGTGCACTGCTCAAGGCTGCCTTTGTGATCAGCTCTGTAATGTGACTGTGAAATTTCAATTGCTGATTCAAACTGACACTTTACTCAGAGTTTACTGTACAAAAAGTAAGAAAAAATGAAATGTATCATACTGCCTTAATTCTATTCTGCATTTGTGGTAGCAATTAAATAAAGGTGGTTCTGTGGCTTTAGTATGTGACTTCCTCACACATTCATTTCTTCTTGATGTTACTTATGGGGGTGTATGTGTAGGGTGTGTGGGTGGTGGGGAGAGCACTGTCCTGGAGGAAAAAGAAGACTTGACTGCAGACTCCATCTCCATCACAAGCCTGCAGCATTCTGGAATCTCCCTCACCTAAGTTATTTTAATTAGTAAACTTTGGGGAGGAAGGGTTGGGGGACACACTGGAGGAGGTGTGGGAGGGAGGCACACGGGTGTTGCAGTTTCCTGTCACAACCCTACAAATGGAAGGGATCAAGCTAAAAAGCTTATGTGGTAGTGGAAGGGGACAGAGGAGTAGGGAATGGGTGACAGGACTCCAGGAACTGGATAAACCTCCTGACCTCAGTCTCAAAAAAATTGTTCAAAATTTCAAATAAATATTTAGGACACCATGACATATATTACACATATATGTAATTTTTATTTTAAGCAAAACCTCTGCTAGCCCTAGAGGACTTAACATTTTATTTATTGTGTGTGTGTGTGTGGTGGGGGAGCTATGCATGTGCCACTGTCTGCATGTCAATGTCAGAGGACAACTTCGAAATATGGGTTCTAGGGATCAAAGGCAGGTCAACAGGCTTGGCAGCCGATGCCTTTACTTGCTGAGGCATCTTACCACACTAGTTTTGTTTATTTGTTTGTTTTTAAAAGATATACACATTTAACACACGGACATATAATAGACATAGACAGTAGTACACATTCATTTGGCCTATCTAGACTTTGGCAGACTGAGCTCATCTCAGATAACGATCCCCAAGTTATAGTGGACCTAGCTCCCCACTAGTTCCCTAGCAAGACTGCTGGTCTTTGGGTTCCATACTCTGCACCCCGACCGAGTGCAAAATCCCTTCCAAGTATTCCTGGTTGTCTGAAATGAATGCTTACACGTGTACTTACAGACTGGCTAAGAGATAGCCTCCAACCCTCTTACCCATACCCCGCTCACCTTGCCAAAGAATTGCTCTGGGAGAGACTGCCAAAGTGTCTAAATTAAAGGTACTGTGGCCTGATGCTCTAAGCTGCGGTTCTCTAGGCCCTTAGCAGTGCCAGATTCAAAGAGGAAATGGAAGGGGTGAAGCCTTTATTATAACAAAGCTCCAAAGTTTGCCCTCAAGTGCCCAGCCTCAGCCTCAACTTCATTAGTGAACTGAGAAAGCCTCAGTCTCTGCTCAGCAGGCTGTCCCTGCCCTTTGCATAATTACCCTCACCAAGCGCGCTGAAGCCCAGAAGTGCTCTTTCTAAGCATCTCGTTTCCTCCCAGAACTGAGTCCCAGAACTCACAGATCTGACTTACCACGCCCACTTGGCTGGTGCTTGGAGCAAAGCAGTTTCTTTTTCAAATCCAGGGAGTTTCCTTTTTTTAATGGGACTATGCATACATCTGCCAAAGCCTTGGGATTCTCCAACCTCCCCACCCCAAACCAAGGGACCTGTTCTCTGCTCTAACTGTAAACGTGCTTCCCAACCAAGGAATTCTTGCAAGCAGACGATTTTGTTTATTTTCATTTTTTTTTTTTGAGACAGGGTCTCACTATGTAGCCAGGCTGGCCTTGAACTAGAGATCCCAGCTCCCTCAGTTTTGAGTGCCAAGTGCTAGGATTTTAGATATACATTACACTTAGCAGCAAGCAAGCAACTTGTCTTGCCAGATTTCTCTGAATGTTAATCTTTCTGTTTGCAACTGAAATATAAGGTATACTGTAAAGTGACATCTTGACCAATTTTTCCTTTGTGTGCACCAGTGGAACAGCCACCGTAGTCTTCATATAGGCTCCTTTTGCCCACTTCTGACGAGTTTTACATTCGTGTTATCTATTGTAGAATTTTGTTTAAATGGAAACATGTAGCACAAATAATGAAAACTCAGAGACAGATAATGGGGTTCAAACTGAAGATCAGAAAAGCAAAGCAGCCAATCCACTAGAGATTTCTTACGGCTACCAAGGCTCAGATGAAAGGGGAACAATTTTGTCCCCAGAGTGACTGCAGACTGCACTGCTCTCCACTAAACCTCAGACTGCACTGAGACTACCTGACAGTCTGAACTCAAACCTCAGATCCCACAGTGGAAGGAGATAGCTAACTCCAGAAAGTTGTTCCCTATATACAACAATAATAAATAAACCATTTTTAAAGCCTCAGAGGAATATTTAAAGGTTTGGAGTATTTGCAATCTCTATTAAGTTGAACAGGCACATAATAAAGCAGCATGCAATTTTATTAACAAAACAAATATTTTAACACTGTCTACAGTAAATGTGCCTATCTCTACCAATCTTTATATTGTGATTTTTTGGGGGGGACACGATTCACATATGACAAATTTCATCACCTTATTCAATTCCATGTGTTTTGTTTATTTACAAACTTGTACTACCAGACACTCTTAAAATTCTTAAATATTTTAACCAGACTCAAAGAAACCCTGTGAACATTGGCATTCATTTTCCATTTCTCTCTTTTCACATGACAACTACTGCTTTTTCAGTGACAATGAATTTACACATTCTGGATCTATCATATAAATGGAATCATGCAATATATATCCTTGGTATCTAGTTTCTTATCCTAAGCATAAAGATTTTCAGATATATCTGTGTTGGTAACCTATAGCAAGAGGTAATTCACTTTTAGGACTGGATAATATTCCATTATAGGTACATTTTATTCTTGCACTTATCTGCCAAAGAACATTTTAGCTGTTAATAATTCTACTATAAATATTGGTGTGTTAGTATCTGTTTGAGTCCCTACTTTCAGTTCTCCTGGATATATATGTAGGGCAATTGCTTGATCACATGGTAATTTCATGTAAATATTGTTTTCACATCAGTTGCTTCATTTTGCATACCTACCTGAGATGCATGAGCATTCCTCTTTCTCTGCATCTACACCAACACTTAAAATTGTAGCAGGTACGATGTGGAATCTCAGTGTGCTTTTGTTACTAGAGTTGGGTTGAGACTCTTGTCCCTGGAAACTCTAAAAACCCAGGATTTGCTACCAGCCTTCAACAACACAATCAAAGAAACAAACCCACAGTGAAAAGCCTAAACAAAGCAGACTTATTGATGATGGCCATGTTAAGAAGTCCAATGACCCATGTCCATCTTTGAGGTCATGACATTGAATGGATCATCCTTTCATGAGTTGTTCCAGCAGGAGCTTTACCATGTTCTAAAAAATAAAAATAAAACGTGATCTCCTAATTGTGGCAGTATACCCATTTTGTAATCTACTCAATAAGTGCAATCTATTCTCTTAACAAAACACGACCCAAGGGTTAACAGTACCTAATTAAGTAGGGTTTTACTAGAACCTAAGGAACTTGGGAGAAGGGAAATATCACACGACTGTTCCTTTAAACCTTTGTATTTCAAGGGATAAGAAGTGGAAAAGTACTTGTCAAAGTAATGGCTTAAGGGATACATGCTCACTACAGGACTCAGAACTAGTGATAGGCGTGTACAAGGCTTCACCGTCTTTCAAAACGTACTGCAGTATTGAAAACAGAGGAAATGTCAGCCTCTGGTCTACCTACAATAAACTCTGAACACAGTCTTTCCCAATCGTATACTTCTTAAACTTCACATGAAAAGCATGTTTACTTTTCTCATACACTATACTCCCACATCATCCAAATTTAAGAGCTATATTAAGAAGACCAAAAATCCCAATATCTAATGAGACAAGATAAATACCAGAATTACACTTAACATATGGTAGAGATATTATAATGATCAGAACAGTAATTTAAGGTCATTGTGATGGATAAGACAAGGGCTGTGGGGGAAAACAAGTTCTTTAGTTTCTATTTTTTTTAAACTGGCGCTAATAGAAAACAATTTGTGAAAATAATAATATTTTTATTATTTACTAAGTGAATGAACAGCAATGTTATTCAAGAGAGTAAGGAAGAACTGGGGATGCTCTGCTATGAAAATGGTGTGGTGTTATTCAAATGTGGGTTCAGATTAGCTCTAAATGTATGTCAAACGCTCCCAGGAAACCAGGAAATACTTAATGAAAGATGTATGACTGATATATGAGGGGGTAAGAAACCTGGAGAAGGCAGAGGGGTCGGAGAATCAAAGCAAAAAATCAAAGCACCATAACAAACACAATATACTTATAAATACGGCTGCTAATGGGAGTGAAATACCAAAGGCACTTGCTGGGTGTGGTGGTGTGCACCTGCAGCATGGCACTCAGGAGACCGAGGCGGTAGGATTGCTGCAAGTTCAAGGCTAGACTGGCCTGTAAGTTTCAAGGCAGCCTGAGGTACAACGCAAGGCACTCTTTTTAATTTAAAAAACACTATGATAGATTAAAAAACAAGGATCACGTGTTCTCTGAAAGAAACACATTAACATAAACTCTAAGGGCCCAGCTATATTAAAAATAAAGAGATAAGAAAAGACCCACCATGCTATTGCTAACTGAAAGACAGCTGCCAATGTCTGTAATAGTTTCGGACAAGAAAAATCATTAGGTGTGAATAACAGTCCTTTATAATGGTGTAATAACAGGGATAAATAATAATCCTTAAAACTGATTCTCCTAACAACTCACTGTCAAAATATGTGAATCAAAAACTGGTAGAACTACAAGAAGGAAGAATCAAATCCAAAAATGTAGTTGATGACTTCAACACCCATGTCTCAGTAACTGATAGTCAGCAGGTGGAAAATTGGTAAGGACATGGTTGAAATGAACAGTGCCATCAACCAAGTGTGTCTAATTGACACTTAGGCAGCACTTTGCTCAGAACAGGCAGAATACATCCCTCAGAACCTCATGTGTGAGATACATTATCATGTTCCTGGAGAAAAAAATTATACCTTAACCAGTCTAAAGGAATACAAATCATATATAAGTACCATTGCAGATCATGGTGAAATTAAATCAATAACAGAAAGATAGACAGAAAACC